TGCCACCAGTAGCATTTCTAGGTTCTCGTAACTCGCAGCCTTTGGTCTAAAGCTATGCTCGCGAAAGTTTTATTCTACAAGGGCTAGTCGTTGTTTGAAAGCGATTAGGTGCAAGAATAATGATGTTTTTAAGCAAGAGGAACTTACGATTCAACGTAACCCATATTATCGAAAATATCTGACCATCGCGATACTATTGTATCCACAAAGAAGCCAAGAATGAAAGTGAGTGGTATATATTGCAATCGTGTATCGAAATAATATGCTAAATTTTCGAATGTGCTGAAAAATGAGATTCCTTCAAATATTTTCAAATGGCATGAAATATGAATATTTATGTTTGCGTGTGACTAGCAGCCGGAAATACGTGCTATTTCTCCATCCAGCTTTGTATGATAAAACAATACCCTAATCTTTGCTCCTTCGCTAATTCCACTGCAGCCTGTATCTGTACGTCGCTACTAAGAATTTTATGCAGATAAAATGCCAATTAAATACATGTAATCCTTAGAGGAAGCTCGTAAACATCTCGGAAGGACGGATAAATTACTAACCCTTGCGAGACTGTGGCAAAGGTTATTTAGACAGCTGTTGTATATTATTTGAATGCGGTAGTTTCTCAAATGTAGCGCTGCTGAAGTAATGAATGTTACCAAAATGATTAAGTATTCTGAAAATTTCGACGATAATGTAGAATTTGGTTTGTGCACTCTTTCGTGCGCGATATATTGATTTTTGCAGAGGCCTTTTTTGGGCTATACAGTTAACAGAAGTACTCTGCGAAGAAGTGTCTCCTAAATGTAGAATTTTCTATTAGATGGTGTTCGTTGATGAAGTTGATGAGGAACAATTAGGAGTGAGCATGTCACAAACTCTTGAGTTGGATGTGCTCCACTTTTGCACGGTCTAAAAGCTGAGCACATGAAGATCCCATTGAGTCGCTTGGACCTTTCACGACCACTAGCGTAAATCATCGTAAATTTTGCATAAAGGAAAAGTGAACAATTTCTCTCCAACAGTCTTTCTTTGAAAATAGTTGTCCAACGAGCAATTTTCCCATCAAAAATTTCACCTGTCCATACGTGAGAACCACACACACCTAGAAGCTGAACTTGAAATTTTTACCTATACTTGCACAGAGTATATTCATGTAAAGTTTCAGTTCTCCTTGTCCAGTTCCTTTAAGATGTGCGTACATGGGACCTAGGCATACACGGTTGATAATATTAAAGTGTGAGGGTCTCACGGGGGTAGGCACATACTCCAAAAACTTCAGCTTTCTAACTTTTCTGGTTCTAGCGCTGGATAATGAAAAATGAGAATACACACAGCTTCTTGCCAATATGCGTTTTATGCGTTTTGTGCTGTGTAACAGCGTTACAAAACGCATACTGTCACGGAGTTGTCTGTATGTGTGTGTTTGTATGTGTGTGTTTGTGCGTGTGCCCCACATTTTGTCCTGCACTTTCAACTTGGGAACCACAAAAGCTAGGCCGCTGAAATTTTGGTATAGTGTTCCCCGCCAACGGGTGACGCTGCAAATTTAAATTCAGCTTTCCCGTACCCGCGGGTAACTCTTACGCCCCGTGAAGCTTTTTTACGGGTAAATTAATATCTCTGGAACCACGAAGTCTAGGAGGCTGAAATTTTAAAGTAATGATCCCCTGCCCACGCTCAACCTTGCCTATTCAAATTCAGCGTTTCCTCGCTGTTGAGTATCACCTACGGTCTCGTGAAAATTTTGGTGGTTAAACTATTAACTCGGGAATCACGGAAAGATATTCGCCCTTCAAGGTTTCGAATTCAGCTTTCATCCGCTGGTGTGTGAAATTTTTAACTGTCTTCCGATGTTTGAACTATTTCTACATAGACTAAAGTACAAAGCAGTGAAAATCATTAATAGGCAATCGTTCGATGGGCTGA